GTGTAAGACTTGGCGCCTGTAGCACAGTGGTTACAGAGCCAGCCACATATACCCAGGCTGGCAGGTTCGAACCCAACCCGGGCCAGCTAACCAACAATGACAACTGCAACAAAAAACTAGCTGGGCATTGGGGTGAGCACATGTAGTCCCATCTACTTGGCAGGCTGAGGCAAGAGAATCGCTTAAGCCCAAGAGTTTGAGGTTGCTATGAGCTGTGACGCCACAGCACTCTACTGAAGGTGACATAGTAAAACTTTGCCTCAAAAAAAAAAAAAAATTTTTTTTTGGAGGGAAATAGAGGCATGTCACATACCATCCCAAGAGCTGGACTCAATCCAGTTAACAGCATTAAAGACAGCAGCAGTGCCTCCATAGCAAGCATTAGTTGTATCAATTCCTTCTATATCTGTATTGCCAGATTCTTCAAACAACTGCATCAAGTTAGTCTTCACTGACTTTGATTTGTCGATGATTGTCTCTGTTCCAACTTCTAGTCGCCCAATGCAATCATAAGATAGGTTATTCCTCTCCATAAGATTCTGAACCACAGTCATACAAAGAGAGTTGATGTCTTCTCTGTCAGTGCAGAAGCCCATCTTGGCCTGGCCCAAGCCAATGGTATACTTTCCAGCATCTACACCATCATATTTTTCCAACTCTGTTTGATCAACATATTGAGAAGGAAAATAGATCTCAAGGGCAACAATTCCCACATCTTTTGGCCAGCAAGCTTCTGCATTCAAAGGAAGCGACCCAGGCATGGTGAAAGAGCTTTAGAAAGAAAAACAGAAAAAAATATTGTTTTAGGTTATATGCTAATTTTCAAGTTCAACACTGAGAAACAGATATTAAGAGTTCAGCAATCACCTGAGATTGTTTTGTTTCTCTAAATTTCACAATTGTAAATATATGAGGTAGCAATTGTATGAGTAGAATGCTGCCATTTAAAATCTTAGTCTTGGCTCAGTGCCTATAGCTCGAGCAGCTAAGGTACCAGCCACATACACCAGAGCTGGTGGGTTCAAATCTAGCCTGGGCCTGCCAAACACCTGTGTCTCAGTGGATAGGGCACCAGGCCCCATATACCAACGGTGGCTGGTTTGAACCCAGCCCTGGCCAAACTGCAACAAAAAATAGCTGGGCATTGTGGCAGGTGCCTGTGGTCCCAGCTACTAGGGAGGCTAAGGGAAGAGAATCAT